CACACACACACACACACACACACACACACACACACACACTGTACATACACTAGGCTTAATGTATGGAATTAATTTCATCGTGTCAAAGAGTCATCGTGGCTGAAAAAAGAGCTGAATAAAATGAACAGTGAATTATAATCAGTTTCATACTTGAGAGCCATATTGCTTTAGTGATGAAAATTAATATGACAAGTCAACATCACTTTCTCCATCACATAGACAGACCTCTCTTTCTTTCTTTCTTTCTTTCTTTCTTCCCCGCTCACAAATGCCAAAGGCAGACTGCTCCTCACCAAAACACAGGCATCATTTATTTTACTGCCTCATTTGAATATGATGAATGCTACAGTCGTTTGTGTTTTCACAATAAGTGAATAATTGTGAATCAGTCGATTCAGGTCCTATGAATCATTCTCCCCGCTGTCTCCTCTTGCCAGACATGATAGTTCATGAGGACTTTAAAAACGATGAGTGACGAATTTGGATATTTGTCGTTATTCTAAACAATTAGCAAACTGAGTGATAAGAAAGCAATTAGAAAATAATTGTTAACTCTATAATTGACCATTTGTCACTGTAGCACCTCTTTTTCTGCTACACCTCTAAATTAAGTTAGCATTTTATTTGTATTTAGTGAACTGTGGACATTTTACAGATGAAGCAACACTTACACAGACACATTAATATATTTGTATATAATAATTATTTTATACATCAAATAATTTCTACACTAATTATATAAATGTGCATTTAGTGCAAATTACTAGCTGCAGCCACATGCTCTTCTTATGCCCCAAAAATGTGGAATTCTCTTCCAGCTAACATTAGGTAAACAAAATTACTAGTTTTTTTTTTTTTTAAATCTTAAAACATTTTATTTTAGAATGGCTTTAAACTGACTTTTGTATTGCTTTTTTGTGTTTTATTGTGTGTCCTTTTTATTTTCATTGATGTATTTTGATTTTGATATTGTACCGTGTTTGTTTTTTGTTTGTTTGTTTGTTTGTTTTTACTCAACAGCGTTTTGATAAAGTCATATTTACAGGTGCTACAAAAAAGGAAGTTGGTATTATTATTATTATTATTATTATTATTATTATCACTCTGTCTTTTACAATAATCCATAATCATCAAGGTAACACATTTACAAATGTATGCACTTGTTGTGAATCCAGCTGAAATTTTGTGAGAACCTTTGCTGCATAAGTATAAATATGCAAATTGTATGAAACTATTAGTATATGAGGCCTAGTAATGTTTAAAGTCAACATGGAATAGAAAATTCACCCTATCTAATTTCTAATTGCATATTATAGATTTTACATTATAGATACTGACATTAGATTTGGTGAACAATTCATATGTGAATATGTTCCTATGTTTCTTAGATATTGTGAACAATTCCTACGTGAATATGTTTCTATGTTTTCCTTTTTTTTAACTCATAATGTGAAATCAAAATGTCATAACTAGACCTTCCTGTAAAAACAACACACTTCTTTCTGGTGAATAATGCAGGGCTTCAGTTACTGAGACTGCTTGAACTCACCCCTGTAAACTCACATTCATCTGCCTCCACTTTTGAGTGCAACACCCACATCTCAAAATCCAATCAGCAACTGATGCATAGAACAAAGTCCCCACCACGCATTATTTTCTTTTTCGATGATCTGTTAAGCTCAGATGTAGGTCACAAAAAGAAAAGATCTGTCTCCACTTCCAATTCATTACAGCTTTGCCAATGGCATTTCCCCTTCCTCAGAACATTTAGACATTAAACATCTATTTGTGATCATGACATAAACCAACACAGATGAGGTGCGAGACAAGGCAGCGATGCATGAAAGCACTTTTGATGTGATAATTCAAATTAATGACTGATGACAACGCCAAAATTTGTTCAAAACAAATAAATACGATCTTTCCTCAAATAACTTTATCTACAACCAAAGAAGTAACATGATACTTGATAATGTCCGGATGACCACTCTTCACTGCTCTGCAAAACTGCAGCATCAGGTCCAGCAGTGTGACGGTAATGGACGATAAGCGCTTGCTATTCCTTATGCCAGCAGCAGAGAGGAGAGCCAAGAGAACTATGGGATGATGGAGGGAGAGAGAGAGCAAAGGCTAAAAAATGATGACATCGTCCAAAAAAACCCACCAATATTGAACAGCGTCATCGGCAGGGGCGACTATTTATCTCATGCCCGCCAAGTTGGCACGCACATCTGGCGCCGGGTACTTAGTGCAATTATTTATGATTTCCTCCAAGATTTAAAAGCTCTTCGCCGGGCCTTGTAATGCAGTAACTGATTGCGGCGCTAATGTAATTAAGGGGAGATTATGATGTCCACGTGGCTCACCAGATGGTGGCATTCGCAGCGATGGGGGGGAGGCACAACTGGCACACCGCTGCACAAGGGCAGCGAGGCGCAGCCAGTCGAAGCGAGCCAGACCTCCTGCCAGACGCTTGAGCGTGAGCGTGCGTATGTGTGTGCGAATGCGTGAGTTCTGCGTGTGCGATGTGTCCGTGTCAGTGTACGTGTGACCGAGGCAAGGTTGGCAGTTGAATCTATCAGCAAAAGAGTATCGGTGGCCTCCGCTGGAGTCAGGGTCGCAAATCTGACCTTGTTAACTCGGGTTAAAATCAAACAATGAGGATGTCAGGAAATATTATGCGAGGTTGAGTCCGCATTAATTTTGATTCGAGTGGAGTCCTGATAAATGTAATTGAATCCTTTTGCAACAGCATTCAAACCGTTTAGTCTCCTTAAGCATTATAACATTAGCGTTGAAATGAGCACCATAGCTCGCCTGATTAAAGGCAATGGAGTTGGGATGGTGTATTCGATAATAGCAATAAGGGTGCGTGGTAGTGCCTTACTACCTTAACTTATGCACTGGTAGTGCCAAGAAAACAGATGGCTTAAAAAAGACGTAATCACATTTGGCAAAGCATCACAGCTGATGTGAGGAAAAGAGAGCAGGAGTGCTTCTCTCCAGCCAGGCAACTGTAGCCTAACCCAAACTGACCTTTAATTACTTGCAGGAAATACATGGATATTACATCCAGGCACTCAGCTGCGTCCTCTGGGTGCAGTAAGGCTATGCTTCTTAAAACACATTATTATAAGCTATTCAAGAGACACCTTTTTCATATGCTTGCTAGTAAAAGGGGGGACAAGGGAGCGAAGAGGGGATCATATCTGAAGCGAGCGTGGCGGATTTTTCACTCTTCCGCAAATAATGGCTTGAGCGTGGAGACGGAGGTCACCAGGGCTTCTGTAGATTTCCCAGGTCGAGATAAGGATATTATTACACTGCCTGGTAACAAAGAAATCTCCATCTCCGTAGGTCCCCAGACAAGTGTTGGTAAATTAGAAAACACAGGCAATGACCTTTCTTTCTCACATGTATGGAAGAGAGGCATTTGCAGCCTTTTTCAAACGCTTTTCTTAAAACTTGACAGCTTCAAACATTCCCTGAACATTTAAGAAAATAGCTATTGGAAAACATGCAATAAAGTTGATGATATAAGATTAAGATAAATAAATGATATAAGATTATTCTCCAGTAATTGTCTGTATATAAATATATCATGTGCTGGCCTACAACGTTCCATACAAACATATAAATATGTCATGGGCTATAAGAAAAAGAAGTAAAACATGTAAATAAACAAATAAATAGACACTTAATTCTGTCTAGTGTATCAAAGCTTTATCATTTAATTTTTTTCATTATTTGTTTATTTTTATTTATTTTTCTGTGCTTTCCACAGCGTTATGGGAACAGACCTGTGGCCCATTTTTGGGTTGTAATATATATGTTATAATATTTGTTGACATTGTCTA